GTGCCGCTATAGTTTAAGATCTATGCTCTAAGAGTGCTCTTGTTTAAATTTTGTGTCCTTAGCCGCATTAGTTTACATAAGCCTTTTGTATCGCTTTGCCTTTAGCTCGAACCACATAATCACCACAACCATTGCTACGACCCTGCCATCTCAGCTACATCGCAATTTGTAATCTAATCCTTGTATTGGTGATTCATCGCTCCCTTCAAATAAACGTTTATGATTGATTTTCTATGATCTGATTACTTTGAACTGATTACGTGCGTTCGAGTACTTCGAGCTCCAGAGGCCAAGCCCTAACCTACACGTGGCATCGCTGCTGGTAAGTCACAGAGAATAGCTGCCTGATAGGCCAGAAACCGCTCAAATTGCTAGAGATCAGAGCCTGGAGAAAACCAACAGCAAATACAAGGCCAAGGGAGCATCTGACGGGAAAAAAGTCCCATTACATGATCGCATCCCAGTCGATCAGTTTCCAGATAAGCATCTACGTACTAGAGGCAAAACCATATTTTGCACTGCTTGCGGAGGAGTTGTTTCATAAAAAAAAACGTATTTCAGTAGCCATTGTGCTTCCAAAACACACACCACAAAAGATTAAGAAGTCAAAGTTGAGAGAACAAACTATTACCGAAGCACTTAGTCGAGAGAAGAGTCATCAAGACAGCACGCTGCCTAACGTCGTACATCTTACATTTTGACATATTAAGTCATCGCTTCTAGTCTGGAATGAGATGCAGTAGTTAGTTGTGTTTTATCAGAGCAAGTGTATAACTCACGATAAAGACATTTTTGGCTAGAACACCCGTGTGGTCAGCGATCGAAAGTGTAAATCTCACTGCGACTGCAATTACATATATTGTCGGTTTTTACCGTCACACCATCATCAATTGCCCATTTAACAAATAAGGTAAAGAATCAAAGACATAAAAGAAAATTACCATTCAAACAGTCTCGCAAAGATTTAGGTCTGTGATATGTTTCGTGCGGGAGATATTCGAAGAAATGTTATACTTAAATTTATAAGGCTTTGTATGGAGGTTGATAGTTTCGAAAGAAACTGTTTGGGGCTGCGTCGGTGGGGGTAACAGAATAATTTGGATATATTAACAAGGCTAAAATGGTAAATTGGCCACCGTTACGATCACAAAAGCTGACGTTTCGAGCGTTAGCCCTTCGTCGGAGCGAGTGGTAGATTCAAGTGGTCTTAAATGGTTAGGATGGATTTGAGTGAATAAAATTAGATAGGAGTGGATTGGAATGGACTGGGCTGGATTGAGCTAAGCGTTAGCCCTTCGTGAAGCGTTAGCCCTTCGCTCCGACGAAGGGCTAACGCTCGAAACGTCAGCTTTTGTAATCGTTACGGAGGCCAATTTACCATTTCAACTTTTTTGATATATCCAAATTATTTTGTATGGAGGTGCCGTGTTTGTATTCTCCGGAGGGGCACAGATATGGCGGCCGGAAGCTGACAAAAACATATATCATTGAGTTTTGGCATTAAAATGGCTCAAACCTCCGAGTATCTCTCTATCTTCTATTCATCAACATCTTGAAAACAACACGAATCAATCTGTTTGCTCAATTTGAGCTTATGTTAAAATCAATCATTTTTCACCTTGATTCTGAAAATTGACCAAGATATCCTGTTGACCGTTCAAACTTTGTTTGTTTATCTTCTACGTTGAGGATCTTAGGTTTTCATAACAAATGGATGGAAAATAGATCCCGAGTTGTCCTAAAACGTTGCTAAACGAGATTAATCGCAACGCTTACATGACTTACAAAAGGTGTTCGGAAGGCGCCTCTTCGATAATTTTCGTTGAATCAAGTCATGAACCACGCACAGTGGGGAGAAGATCAAAATTAAAGAATAAAATTAGGCATTCTGGTCATTATAGACAAAACAATTTACATACACTCCGAAAGAATTCTTGCAGTTTCTTCTTGAGCGACAAACTCAACATTTTCTTACCACCACCAAACCCAACTAGACAAACCCGGCTCAAATGATGAAGTGCATGTCATGATTATGCTAATTTATTCCTCGTTACATGACTTATTTCGTTCATTTCGCGAGTACATAAATTGCAGTCCACTACGATTAAACTCTACCCTAAGCAATCACAATCCTCGCCAGTCCAGCTCAATCCTTCCCAATCCATTCCAATCCACTCCAATCTAATTTTATTTGCTCAAATCCATCCTAATCCATTTAAAACCACTTGAATCTGCCACAACCGATCTCAATCGAACGTAATATGCTTCAGTCAATTATGATTCTGACAAACTCATCATAGTACACCTCAATCAAAACAATTTTTTTTTTCATTCTAATAAAGTCTGGGTTAGGCGTGAATTACCTTCTTTTGTAAACATATCTCGTGGACGAAGAATTCAAACTTTCCCTAAACCCTAACCCAAGGTCACCCCGAACTTCTAAAAGGAATCTTCGAGTGCTTGTGTTCAGCTATGAGCTGCTTGATATGTCGGGCTGTAGGGGCATCCGTTTATAGCTTTAGCCATATTAAGAAAGAAATGAAAGAGCTTTCTGATTTGAAATTTAGAAAAATGTTTTTAAATAAAGAGCAAAAGTTCTCAACAGAGTCGATCCTGAACATAGCCGCTCCACAGTTTTAGTTGATCTGGTTGGCTAAATCCTCGATAGGAATATACTGCGTGCAAAATATTAAGCGTTACGTTTGCTTATCGTCCGAAATATAATAGAAACTGACGGCAGTTTTCAAAGTAATCTTTTCTTGAAACAATCAATTCTTCAATTTGAAAAGCGAAAATGATTTCGTAAAATAGCTCTTTTGTTTTTATCATCTCACGGAACAGGTGGGCCTAACAGTAGAAATTCTAGAACTATTCGTGAACCAACATGTTCTTAGCTTTTATATCATAGATGAATTACGCAAGCATTTTAATTAGTTCTTGCATATGATCTGTTTGAGAAAAGACACATAGATAAAGTCAGTATCAGGTTCTTTCGGGCTCTTTTTTGTATAGAACAAACAGATTCCATGTTGCTGTAAGTCTGTGCAGCTATGACACACTTGGCTGCGCCTTGTGTGTAACTTTTTTGTTCTTATCACATTCTGACGTCACTTATAACTTAACAGCCGCATGGCATCACGGAATCTATTTGTGAAACAGTCATGATAGTCTCACAGTTTTTGAAAAAAGGTAGTTAAATCTTTCAAAAAAGGTTTAAGAATGACATCCCAATATCCGATATATGTAAGTAACTAATGCACCTATGCAGTCTATTGACTATTAAAAATACATGATTCATAAAATGTAGAGTGACGTTAAATCCTGTTTCTTTGCTTTAAAGGTCTGATGTCCCATTCCATTCAGCTTCTACTGTGAACTAACAAGAGTGCAACCAAAACGAAAAGAAGAAAAATATCAATACTCCTTTTAAACACTACTGGATCAAAGGGTTTTCCTACCAAAAGTCTTGTGTATGAAGGGAATTTAATTCCACCGGTGTAGGTTGTCAGAAAAAGGGAAAAGAAAGGAGAGAGGATCTTCTAGATTAACATTAAGATTAGGCATTTTGTGACCGAAACGACCTAGCACATCTCTATCTAATTAAGTTAACGTTTATTTGAGAAATAAATTAGGAAAGTAAATGGTTAAGTTATCATCACGATGCATTGTAATAAATTTAAGGAATAGAAGTGTTGTAAATGGCAGTAACTGAAATTTGCAGAAGAAACCAGAAACAGCAGAGAATATAAGAAATAGTGACGAAGTCCTGTTTCCTTACCCATCCCCCTCTCCCTTCATTCCTATGATTAAGGTAAGATGTTGTAGGAGAAGAGAGTCTTTTAGGAGGGTAACTTGTTTTTACTTCGTTCATTTCCTTTACCTGAACGAGAGTAACATCCCAAAAGCCAAGACCAGAAAGGAAACCGTTTTTCCCACTGAAAAGGAAAACTGATGAAACGTCCTGATTTTCTGCTACACTGGAACCGCCTTTGGAACCTTTCTATAACACCAAGAAATGGTTAGATATTCTAGTCTTCTCGGATAGGGACGAATAAATGGAGGTCCCGTCTACTGCAGGGTTAGGGGTAGGAGACGTTAATTTCCCACACACGAGATTACTATGGGATGGATGTCCTCCCCTGGGGTGGGAAGGGTGGTTTTGCAGAGCCCCATTTAAACCAGCACATGCTGAACTGGGCATCTCTGCTAAACTATGGTTGATAAATAAATAAATGGTACACCTCTTCTGACACGTCCATTACGTCTAATACTTTGAATTTGCCTAAAATATCCTGAAATATAAGTAAATAGAACTTTTTGTTCTCCACTTATTAAAACCACGTTCGTATACATTTAAATCAAATTTCCAGATACAAATGAGGATAAACTCAGTCTGGTTGGGAGCACTGAGCTGCTAAAAAGTTTGATTGTGTCATTCTTGCTTGACTTGACTCAAAATAACACACAACCTGTCCTTGATTATGATAATCTTTCACGAAGCTCGAAAATGCAAACAAAGATTATGTCTTCGGCATGTATGATTTACTACTTATCCCTCAAAGAATCGTTTCGTAGCTGGCAATTGATCATGAATATAAGAGATCACTGCTCTCCGAGAAAATAAGCGACCCAGATGTGACTCCGATTCCAAGCGCTTAGAATACAAACAAAATCAAACTGAAACAGCTTCTTAAAGTTGCTTCTCTTGTTTGAGCCAGAAGCTAACGGGCTCAGTCCTCAAAGGAAACAAAGTATATACAGAGGTTATGAGAATCGAACGATTACCGGAAGAGAATACAACTACCTCTAGTGCATTTCGACATCCAATAGGTGCTGCAGACACAAACTTTGTAGAAAGCTCCTTGTAAAAGAAATCATTACTTTCGATTCCCGTTTTAATGCGATTCACGATTTCCTTTACCACTCCAATCGAATGGAGTGTCATTATCATAGCTATCTCTAAAGTTACTATTTCAACTACTTGCAAGATCTTCTTTTACCTGCACCACAGTACTTTACGCTATCTTCTGTCATCGTTTCGTTCTTCAACCCGCTGCACAAGTATTGCTCTGGCACACAAGTTCCCTCGATAGTGATCTCACCGCCGGCTCCGCTGCACTCATCGTATTCGCCATCTTTAGCTTTCCAGTCCTTGAATTTAACACCTGCGACACACGATTACAGAGAAATATCAGAATCATTAACAAATTTCGAGACAAGACACAATACACAGGGGTAGCGGCAGCGGAGCGGATACTTTTGAAGGGGGATTAGATGGTTTTCAGGGGAAACAGAAGGGGGATCAGGTGTCGCCAACAGAACATAAAGGGGACACTATGCATAGAAAATTGACTTAGGGAGAGGGGGCTAGAGGAATTTTATAGAGCATCGTAGGGAGATCGGGTAAATTTTATCGTGACATGACCAAAATCCTCCGACCTTGCCCCCTTTTAGATCAATCAATCCATCAATACTTTATTTACCCACGTAGCGTCAAGGAGCTCGTAGAGCTCGTTTAAAATACGTACGTGCCTCTAAGATTAAGAATCTAAAAAACCTATTACATACTGTCAAGACCTAATAGATTAGAATTTGCAATAACTTAAACACGAAGGCGCGCTATATAAGGAAGTCTTCCCTGGGAAGACCTAGGCCCATTTGTCACTCACCGTTGACGTGTGCGGATCAAATTTAAATGCTGGTAAACGAACAAAAGGAGCTAATGAGATATATGTTGTTTACTTCCACCAGCATGGTGGCACGAGGAAACGTGCGAACCCCCTACTTCAATCTCAAATGTAACGCCAGAAATAAAGACAGTTTCCATTGGAGAAACTCAAAAATTCTTGTATTGTGATGAACACATAATACAATTTTGAGGAATGCGCCCGTTGTTCACTGCTTTGGAGAAGCTGTAGCTCAAGCTGCCTTGACTCTTAAGACTTCTACATCACACGACGGTTGATTGACAAATGGTCCAGTAGGACCTAAGGCTCCTTTTATAGCGCGCCTTCGTGTTTAAAATAAACATTAAAATTGAAGTTTGTACGATAAAATTCAGAGTCACTTAAATACAGGTATAAAATGGTGAAGCAATAACTTAAATAACTTAAAATTAACACTAAAATTAACTTTGTACAATGAGGTTCAGAGTCACTTAGATACAGGTATTAAACAGTGAAGCAGCTACAGTTTCAATGTTCACAATAGCTTCTTAAAAAGGTTAATATTATTGGCCAGTTTCACACTTGTAGGTAATCATTCGACAGCTGCGCACACATATAAGTGAAAGATTTTTTATAAAATTCAAATTAAATTTAAGTGCGCACAAATTAATGCCGGTTCCTCTTAGATTGTACATAGTTTTCTAAAACCAAAAAAATCTCTGATATACTTGGGACCGTCGTTATGCAAACATTTATATAACAGAATAAGGGATTGTTGTTTCCTTCTGTGGTCTAACGTTTCCATATTCAAGATTCGCAAAAATTCATCATAAAGGGTAGATTTGCAATAACCTAGCAGTGATCTAAGTTCAACGCCAAGTATTTCGATAGATGGCAGTGTCTGATTAGTTTAGATTAGTTTCAGACCCTTTTTCTGTAAGTTGACAGAAGTAGACAATTTTCTGCTCTCTGTGTGGTATTTCTTTAAAACAATTATTACGAGTGTCGATGAAAGTGGTAAATAATTTTTGACTGTGTTACCATACATTTCAGTCGTTTGGTCATTATACACTGACCTTCTGGATCGAGTTCAGCACTCCCTTTCAACACCTTTAAATCATGAAGCTGACCACTCTTCACTCTGTTGTAAACACCGTCTCGAGAGACCGAGAAGAGGGAGAGAGACTGAGAGACTCCAGAAGCTGCAAAATAGGGCTGCTCGTATAATCACCAATTCTGATTATATGACGCCATCTTCTCAGTTTATTACATGACCTTGGGTGGGATACACTTGAAGAAGGGCGTACTAAACAGCTAGCAATTACTATGTATAAGGTGGTCAATGATCACTTTCCACTTCGCCTTCATAATCTTTTTCAAACAGCATCGCAAGTCTATACCTATAATTTGAGGGACTCGGCTCATAATCTCTTTACTCCAAAACCACTCTCTGAAGCCGGAAAACGTAGCCTACACTATCGAGGTGCTACACTATGAAATAGCCTCTCAACTACTAGCAAAGCCCAGACCACTGTTACTGCCTTCAAAGAATCCCTGCTGACATAGTAATTGCTTTTTGTTATAATTTTAACGATCTTATTATTTTAGGATTTAATAGCTCTTATTGTATGACAAGTTTGTAGTATTAGTTATTAGTTTTAGCATTGCTGTTGGTATATAGTATTGGAATATTAGTATTAGCATAAGTGGTATTAATTAGTAGAAATAGTGCTCGTTCTAGATTGCTTATGAATGACTATTTGTATATTCAAGTTACACACGGCTCGATGGGAGAGCATATTTTGTATGAAATTGATACCGTGTATAAATAAAGCTTATGTATGTGTATGTATGTATGTATGTATGTATGTATGTATGTATGTATGTATGTGATGAAAAGTCTTTCATTTCCCTTCACAAACAAGCATAACTTCGCCTCCATGCCAACTTTATTGTCTTTATTTGAGAACGCCAATTTTGAGACGTTAACGTCGTAATACGTTTCGGAATCGTATGGGTATTTCATCTGCAGAATAGGAATAATCAAATGGGTGTTACTGTCATTGTGACGATTGCTAATAAGATGTTAGGTATTCGAACTCAAATCGTAAAAAAAAACTTGTCTATCCAGTCAGAGTAATAATAATAATAATAATAATAATAATAAACAGTTTAACGTGGAGAAACACTTAGCTAGAAGCTAGTTTACAGGTTTTCCACGAAACAACTTAAACAAATAATTCAAATTGAAAATAACGTTGTTAAGAATCCCAACTGACCGAAGTTGGCTATATTACAAGCATGGCCGAGGATTTGAAACTCGGGGCTACCGTGAAACAAATCCAAGTAGCGGCCAGGGCGGGACTCGAACCCGGGAGCGGCGGATTGCAAGTCCGACCCGCTGACCACTCGACCATGCTGCCTTCCATAAACAAAAGCACCTTTCCTTTAAGGAACATAAAGAATCTATCGTACATCATGTAGGCGTGTGCGTACGTTTCAGTTTCACCATCAATTCCCCTGGCGCCTACTGATTTACTATCTACTATGGTAATCTTCCTTTCTCCTTTCCTCTTTCCCTCTCCCCTTCCCCCTTTCCCCATCTCCCCATCCTCCTTTCCCCCTCTCCCCTTNTTCATTTTTTTAAACAATTTGTGATCTTAAACAATCATATTTGGTACATCTGCAACAACAATAATAATAATAATAATAATAATAATAATAATAATAAACAGTTTAACGTGGAGAAACACTTAGCTAGAAGCTAGTTTACAGGTTTTCCACGAAACAACTTAAACAAATAATTCAAATTGAAAATAACGTTGTTAAGAATCCCAACTGACCGAAGTTGGCTATATTACAAGCATGGCCGAGGATTTGAAACTCGGGGCTACCGTGAAACAAATCCAAGTAGCGGCCAGGGCGGGACTCGAACCCGGGAGCGGCGGATTGCAAGTCCGACCCGCTGACCACTCGACCATGCTGCCTTCCATAAACAAAAGCACCTTTCCTTTAAGGAACATAAAGAATCTATCGTACATCATGTAGGCGTGTGCGTACGTTTCAGTTTCACCATCAATTCCCCTGGCGCCTACTGATTTACTATCTACTATGGTAATCTTCCTTTCTCCTTTCCTCTTTCCCTCTCCCCTTCCCCCTTTCCCCATCTCCCCTTCCCCCTTTCCCCCTCTCCCCTTCCTTCTTCACGCTAATATGACGTGAATGTCATGTGTAATAGCTGCGGTTACACTAAACCTTTTTCCCACGGGAAAGTGAGACCTTACCCACGGGAAGTCTGTGTTTTGTGTGTGACCTCTATTTCCACAGTGAAACTGCCCATGGGAAATCACTCTGGATACATTAAAAAGAACAAAAGAACTACCCATGACGTTTCCCGAACCAAGTCGTAGGGTTTAGCAGTGGTTTATATAACCACAAGAGTAATTCAACCAGTAGGATGGAAGAAAATAGTAAATCCGGAAACCGCATCACATGCTGGACATTTTTGTGGTGTTGCCCTGAAATCGCGGCAGATATCCTCGCAAGTACCAAATTCAAGACACGCGGCATCAAACATGGCCAACTTTCGACGTTCACTTTAAGTATATTTTACTCGTCTTTACTTTGAATACTCCAATAAAAACCATAAGTTTCGCGGTTTGCGATCTCCATGATGAATTAATTTCCTGCTAGGTCAAAAGTTGACCTCGGGTAATTATTTGCAATATAACCGGGAAATTAAACCTGACCGGAAACCCAAACCCAAGGTTATTACCCACAGGGTTACCTCTGGAAGGAGGTGAGTGTAACCACAGTTAATGTGTGCCGTGTCGCCATATGGGGATATTGCAAAGTAGAAATCGGGGGTGCCTCCTTGCCAAAATACTTTGGTATGGGATGAGCCGAAGGGTACGTTTCATGACCCTTTTGCTAAAAATAAAGTTTTCGCGCATCGATATCGGTGCTGTATAAAAAAATTTTGCAGATTTTCTAATACCCTTGTAAAAATGGGGCTTGAAATGATAAATAATAACAATTATGACAATTACAATTTATATAGCGCCAAAATGCAAAGTTTTAAGGCGCTTTAAAGGATAAAATATACATGTCTGTATATTACGTAAAAGCGGAACAAAGCACAATCACAAAGGCTTGGTTAAAAAGAAACGGCTGCAAGTTACTTTTAAAATTGCTCAAAGAGGAACTATTCCACAGCTTTAGTGTACAGACAGAAAAAAACCTGTCACCATGCGTTTATGTTAAAGATAGGCATAAATAAAACGAAAAAACAAAACTTATTGGTTATCACCGTCGAAAGAAGCCACGCGTTCGTTGTTGATATTACCGACTTCTGACACAGGGTTTGGAAAATGATACGGGAAGAAGTCTGCAGTAGGTTAATATTCACGAAGCATACCACACATCCCTCTTATCTCTTCTTCCCGCCCCCCCCCCCCCCCTTATCGTCCCCATCGTGAAGAAACAGAGAGTCTTAAGCGGTTAAAATATTGAGTTTCTCAATCTCGAGAAACATCACAAGGGCTACGGCGCACAGCGAAGAGTACCATTGTCCAGCTTCTCAGAGATTACATTGGAAGGACACGGGTTACTTGACTGCTTTAAAAATTAGTCAAGGCTAAACGACGCCTTGTGCCCCATCAGACTCGCAATGGTTAAACACGGAATACGTCCACAGCAATTTTTTTTCTGATAAATCTATAATACGGAAGGAAAGTAGCTAAATTTAATAATTTTGGCTAAACACTGCGTAATTTAATTTAATTTAGTTTAGTCCATTTTCACTGCATTAAGTTTTGCAGTGGGGAAGGACTAGAAAGGAACATAGGAACCATTCGTGCTAG